GAAGTCATCGATGAGAAAAACATCCGGATTATGTTTGGCTACAATTGTTTTCAGTTTTGGCTCATTTGCACGCATTTTAGTGACAACCATATCAAGGAACGGCAGGTTTTGTATAATCTTCATCTTCTCGTACGACGAAACCCCTGACATGAGTCCCGATTCAAGCAATGATTTCGCGGCCACTTCTCCGGGCATTTTGTCCTTTTCATCGGAAGTGAAGATTTCTTCAGTGAATCCAAACCGACACAACTTTCCCTCATATGACTGGTCGGCCACAAACACTATGTGATGGCCACGACTTTGAAGCACTTCAGCCATACCGATGCAGGCGTTCACATGACCCACACCTTCCATGGGCGCCACCAATATTGTCAACTTTCGCGACATTTTATTAAAACTTTTGGCTTTGAATAATTAACTTAAGTTTAACTTTTTAAAATGAATCGTTTTATTTTCAATTGAGCTATTTTTATAGCATTTCAAAACTGCAGTAATTACTGTACTCTACAACGTCTACATCAAACTTTTATCTTAATCTTCTCTATAAAGAAATACTAATATAAGTTTAATTATACGTTTATTTTGAGAACCTTGATAAATTAAATAAACATATTATGTGTGTCCTGCATTACTGTAATTACTTGCACCTAATAAATGCATTTTCATAAAATCTATAATTAATATTTAGTGCTTTACGTACATTTGACTTATTATTTTTTAAGAAAGGTAATATCTAATAAACATTTTATAACCAGTAGTAACCAGTAAAACCAATTACATAAATGTTTTTAAATCTATAAACCGTGAATAAATTAAAATAATAAATTACCATTAATAACAAAGTATAGTCTCTATAAATGTTATCTAATCTCATTATATTTATCACTCCTATAATGACAGTCTTCTGAAATTAAAAACAACTCAAAGTATGATCAAGTTGCATTTTAATTTAGATTATAGTGTATTATTTTCATCTTAATGTATGTTTAATAATTTATTTGTTATTAAATCCAATTTATTGTTTTTATTTCTAAAATATCAATTTTTTTGAATAATAAACTTTATTAAATAAAGATACAAATCAATCTAACTTGCTTGTTAAATATATAAGTTTGTAAAAATTGATTTTGAATAATAACGTTACCAATAGCTTAAAACAAATAAACCTAATAATACTGTATAAGATGGGTAATTTGTCTATAGATTTCATAAGTTTGAACTCAATTTAGTACATAAATTGAACTTAAAGGGCATTTTTATCGGAACAAGTTATTGTCAATAATCACAACCTTGAGATCAATTATAAATACATTCAATTCATTTCAAGTTTATTTACTTATTAAATGTGTTTGCTTATAATTAAAAACATATATTCCCCTATACTTTATAATAAGTATATAAGATTTATTATTTAATACAAAATATATTAAGCGAATATAAATTACTCGTTTTTCAACTGGTAAAATAAGCGTGGCCATCTTCCACACCCAGCACACTTGCGGACGTATCCTGACCGACTTACAGACGCTCTAGCCCCGGTGGTTTAGTATAAGCGACAGCTGCCGAGCTACAGAGGAAAGTTAGTCGGCTATGGCTTTCAAGAGGAGATCATTGAAACCCCCGATGACTCCCAACCGGAAGAGTCCTCACAAGAAAGCAAATCGACGGTCGAATTGAGGGCTAATGTATTGCTTCGGTCGGGAATATTGTCGGGAAAGTCGTCGCGAGAAAAGCTGGAAATCCTCGCAAACGATGGGTTTCTCTCACGACTCGTGGATAAAGTGATTGCAAACGAACCCATTCTTCAGAGTATTCTCAATAAACACAGGCCTGACGTCTATATTGAGCTGGTAAATCAGCCGAGAGGTAGTGATCATAAGAGTCTGTTTGGGACCCAAAAATAGGACTCACGGTTGGGAAACTGACGATAACTGCTGCTCTCTTGAGGAGGATTAAAAAGTCCAGTAATTAAATTATTTTAATTTATTTTAAAATGAATTTAATAATAAATGTCTGTTTTTTCGTCAATTATCAGGTTATGCAACAAATGGTGATCAGTCCTTATGGCCAGAGTTCAGACAAAGAGCACACAAAGCATTTGAGACACACAACCGATATTACAACTCATGGCTTAAATCCAATGGATATCCAACTATTCATAATAATCTTTGCATTCCTGAGTCGCCTTATCTTAATCTCTATGGATATCCCGAAGAACTCGATTATACGGATATCCGTCCAAATCCCACGAATTGGTTCAGAATTGACTCATTCATGAGGAAAGGAGAACAAGAGCTCAAACTTCCGACAAATTTTAAGAGAAATCACGAAAAACTTATTTATTTATCGTTGGGTTCAATGGCTTCCATTGATATCGAGTTAATGAAACGTTTGGTGAAAATTCTGGCCAAAAGTGAGCATAAATTTATCGTTTCAAAGGGTATTCGCGGCGATGAATATGAATTGGCGGACAATATGTGGGGCCAGAAGTCGGTTCCGCAGACAAAAGTGTTGCCATTAGTAGATCTCGTGATAACTCACGGCGGGAACAACACTATATACGAGACCTTCAGCTACGGAAAGCCTATGATTGTAATGCCATTATTTGCCGACCAATTCAATAACGCACAGAGAGTTGAGGAAAAGGGGTTTGGGATACGACTCGATCCCTACAACTGTTCGGATCAAGAATTACTGAATTCTATGGAAAGGCTATTAAATGATAAGGAACTGAAAGAGAGATTATCCGTCGCTTCCAAACGAATCCTAAATTCCGATAGTCTTACAAAAGCTGCACAACTCATAGAAAATCTATGAGAACTTTATAATTAAATATCTTGGTTAAATATTGTGTTTAAAAATATTTTATTAAATTTATTTAATTTTATAAATTTCTCCTTTTCGGTACAATTATAAAAATATAATCCAATTACTGTTTTACGGTAATACCGTGGTATTAAAATAAATAAATTGATTACTAGTATATCACATATAATTTCTTTAACAACTATAATGTCTATAAATATACCTAAATATTGCCTTTTAATCACCAAAATCCGCCCCAAATGATCAAATTATAGGGAATAGAGTGGATATAATCATCTCTATTAATGTGTTGGAACTGGTCATCATTGACTCCATGAGCTGATCCACAAAAGAATTCCAATTTCTTTTTCTCATTCATCAGCGCATAGCTTATCAAAGTATCTATAGTTTTATTCGTGATATTAGGTCGAGAACTGAAGCAAATTCTTCGAAGTCTTCGACACGAATGGATGAGTTGACGGATACTATCATCTGTGATATCTTTGTGGAAGTGTTGCCTTCGGCTGAACTGAAGTTCATTTAATTTCTTAAGTTTACTCAATGTGTAAATCATATCGTCTGTGATCTCAGTCTCGCAATCGAAGTCCAATTCCTCTAAATTTGGTAAAACTGTGTCTATTTGTCGGACAAAACTTTCGCCAATCGACGGAATATCAATCGTCAAAGACTTGAGATTCGGACAATTCTTGAGACACTCGACACTGCCATCAATCTGTTGCTCACACTTGTCAAGACATACATCCAGTTTAACCAATGATTTGAAACGAACAAACGAATCCAACAAACGGCTCACATCTAAACCATTGCATCGAATTTCAAGATCAAAAGTCTTGAGCTTTGAACAGCCGGTGGCTAAACATATAATCTGATCGTTGATATTGTCATCACTTTCATTGGTCTCATTCAACACAATCACTAAATTGAGTTCTTCTAGACTTTCAATACGTGATATATTAGTGATTAAAGTCTTCGTATGGCTTGCATTCAATTCATGCAAATAAAGACTCAATTCTTTCAATACGTGACTGTATTTTGTGGCCAATATTTGCGATATGTTTAGAGTATTAGCCGTTAATTGAAAGTTATATAACACTTGAATATTTGGCAAAAAGCTCTCATTATCATTGATCAGAGCAATGGTGTCCTGAGTATACAACTTCTTAACGTCGGGACAGAATTGGAAAAACTTTTTCACATAATTGAGCCCAAACTCAGAGTTATAAAACTCAACCACTTCTAACTGGTGCCCCATTTTGGGGCCAAACTCCAGAAGACACTTCTCATTGATACCCATTATATCCATTTTAAGACTTTTGAGTTGTGGACAAAACTCTGCTATTATTTGCATCACCTCTTCGTCACAATAACAGCTAAAATAGATCTCTTCGATGGTCTGACATTTGGCGAGAATTGATCTCAAATGGCGTTTATGAATGCATTTATAGCCCATCCCTGAAGCCTCACCGGTGGTGTAGTCCGTGACAGTGAGGGCTCGGAGTAAACCATTGAGTGACGAGTAATGGTCTTCCTCTTCATGGCTCTCCAGATAGAGTTCCGTTCGCTTCGAGTAAACAATACTTTGCCATAACTTAGACACCGATTCAAAGCGCACGCTATCACTGAATCTCAAGAACGACAGTATCTTTTGGGTAATATTCTCGTCAAACCTGTCCAATGAATATCTGAGAGGACAGGCGTTTGAGTCATCAACAGCTGATCCACTGGCAACATATTCCTCAAGTTCCGGTTCACACATTTGATTATAACAAATACAATTATGGCACCAAATCAATAATTTGTAATATACAAATGTTTGATATAACAAATATTACGGTAATTAATAATCTTGGTCAACAGTGTTGAGTATAATTTTATTTAATTTTTTAATATTTATGTATAAAAATTGATAAATATTGCTTTGTACAGAAATATGTCATACAGGTATATACCATGATGTCATAATGATTGCATAAAATAGTGTACAAATATTGGCTAACATTGATTACTGGTTGTGTTAAGCGCTAAATAGAAACTATAAGTTAGTTGAAAACAAATGCTTAAGTACTGTAATGTAAACACAATTTGTTACTTTACTTAATCGTCACTTAGGCACAGATTAAGTGGGCTTATAACTCTACAAAAGCAAACTTCACAAAAGAGTAAACCGAAAAGAGTCACTTGGCGTATAGCGTGAGTAACCGGCGTGTAAAGTGAGGTCTCTCGCCCTTATGTGCCATCAAATGAATTCTCAACGAAACTATATATCATATCAAATATGAAACCAATATAACCCATGTCATTCTAATTCTAATTTTAAATATACATTTAGTTTTAAGTTTTTTGTTGCAGTTATCCCACGTACAGGCAAAGTCACCCTCACTCTTATGGCATAAGTAGTGTCTCCTGAGTTGGACTTTATTTAAGAATCGTGACTCACATCCGGGCCTAACATACGATAATTAAGTCACATTTTTGTATAATATACGGAAATCACTAATTTTATAGGCATACCATTCGCACTCATAGCGCCTGTCGTTAGTGTGTGACGTGTAATGCATTCTTAGGTTTGCATTGGATCTGAATGTAAATTGAATTAAGAAAATGTCATCAAAAGACACAATTGAATGGCACCGACCGGAAAGAGTGGCCACACTCCGGCCAATCGCATACAAATGTCTTAAGGCCCGTATGGCTTGTCATATGAACTCTGAGGGCCTGCTCTCTCACAAACTTTGAATCACATCCCGGCCTAAGAAGTGTTCATATTATGATAATTTGCTATATTATCATCAAATGGCACGAGTATACTTTGGTTTACGTAAATTTCCCAACAAGCGGGCATACATACTCAAATACTGAAAGACGTTGTGTATAGTTGAATTCAGGGTTAATTACCGTTTCATATACTTACTTATGGGTTTTCCAAAGCATTAAAGAATTTCTTTCCGCAATCACTCCAATCGCACACAAAGTTCTGTTCTTTGCTATGAGACCACAACTGATGGTTCCTTTCAATTGAAAATATCATTACATTTAAGACTATAAACACATCACTCAATGAACTCTAACTTCAATTCCCCGATCGTGAAGAAACTCCACTTGCAATCCGGGAACTGATCCCAACATTTGAACTTCTTTTCACCGAAATGTCTGTTTCTGTCAATTCAATTACAATCCAATCATTCAATCAACGGCTTAAATACTATGACACAAACCTGACCTAGTTATCAAACGACATAAATAGCTTGAGTTCTCACGTAACTAACGTAAATTTGTAGGCAAACCAGGCCAGCATGTCTAACGATACTAACCCCGCCTATACCAAATACTCGAGAAAAACACAGGAAAACATATCAACGCATTCCTCGCATTTCATGGGAATCTTATTGAAGTGCAGGCGTTGGATGTGATCCACGATTCTCTCGTTGCCGACGGACTTAAAGTCACAGTAAATATAATTACAAATATATCGCATTATATTATTGGTTCGCCTGTTTTTAATCACTGAATAGTCTGTAAAACAATTAAAACATATTATGAAATAATCCTTAAACAATCAAAACTCTCACTTGAATTGAAATCGTGTTTCAGAAAAGTCTTATCAGGGACATAACTATTAAACGCGTCGTCCGATGTGTCCCATAATTGCAAATTGGATTCTGAATCGTACACAAATATACAAAATACGTTTAGATTTATTACTATTATTACTTGTGGTTAACTTTTTCACTCAGTTGTGAGTTTGGATTCAGTCAGAACTAAAACTTCGAGAGTAATGTAGGTTAGGTTAGTGTTTGGAACAGCTGTTGCGGTAAATGGCAAGCGATTTGATGGTTCCTGCGAATGGTTCACACATTTTAGTACATATCATATCTAATGCCATCAATGAGATCACTATACCTGAGTTCGCCAGCCGTAAAGAAAGTCCATTCGCAGCCCTCGTGAGTGTCCGCACATTTAAATTGCTTGTCTCCGGAGTGTCTGTTCTGTGGACACAACACAAGGATTGTATTAAAAATAAATTAAAAATCTATACAAATAATACAAATCCATTACTTTATGGATTACTAATTGACTGAATTTCTTGAATTGAAGACCACATCCACTGTCACTACAAATGAATTTCTTTGTCTTTCGGTCGAAGAGTTCTCTATGGGTTCTTCGGATATGTTTCGACAGCTGATGACTCGATGCAAACACTCGAAGACATTCTTCACATTTGGTCCGATTCTCATCCAAATCACGTGTTTTTACTTGTCTTCCCGGCTTAGGCCTCGAATTCACTCTAGTTTTGGGAACCACTCTATGATCTGTTCCGACCATTAAGACAATGATATAAATGTCATTAAACTTAAATACAATTATAATGTCTGACCCATTCTGGAGCTATCATTGCCGTCATCCTGGTCTCCAGTGCTTAAGCGATCTGATCCGTTGTCATCGATGTCCACATCTATATCTGAGTCGTTGTCTAACACTTCAGTCTTAAGCACACGATTAATAAACATTTTGTCCGGACTTTCATTTAAGATATTATCAACGAAGACATGAATTGGATTAACAGGTGTCTGACTGCAGTCATCAGTGGTAACGGAGTGACCACTCGCGATGGCAGCTTCAATCTCATCACAAACACGTTTATATTGATCCTGGAGGTGATGGTAGACAGTCTTGGGACCAACACTTGTGTCACATTCACAGCAATTGTAGAAATCATTCAAATTGTCTCTGAACTGATCCACCAGTTGACACAACTTGTGTGCTAATGATAGCTGTTTGCAGAGTCGAAGGTTCTCTTCGGTCAACTCGTCGAAGATGTCCATCACTTGGAGGTGACATTTGGTGGACACGTGTCGGGCGGTGACACTCATTGTCTGTCAGACAACCACTCAATCACTCAATGGTTTGATAATGCGGTCAAACATATGACTCAATCAATCAAAACAATTGCAAAACAATTGTCTCATTTGGGGACCGATTCCTCAAAACAAACAACAATTCTATCGTATATTCTGCTAATTCTGTGATCGCCTTACAGTGAGAGCTAAATGTATGAGATATTTATATCTTATACAATAATATTCATAACCCTGATAATTCATTAAAATTATGTGACAAATATATATTTTTTAATTAACTCACATAACAAACAAATTTATATTAACCCATGTAAATTATTATTATTTATTAAATGAAACCTAAAATAAGCAAATAAAAGTTTATAAAAATAAAACATTTGTATTCTTAATAATTATAAACACCTTTCACATTATATTTATTTAACTAGGTGTATGCTTAATATAATTTTTTATTTTACAAAAGTTAGCATAATGATAAAGTTATATCCCGGTGCAATACCTTCTTAAAAATTTATAAATATAGTGTCTTAACATTGATTAATCTTTAATAATTATACCATGAATTTNTAGTTTTATTAATAATTTCTAATTATAATTCTAGTATACATCATATTTTAATACCAAATGAGTTTCAATTACAATATTCTTACGACAATTCAGTAAATATACGAAAAAATGTGCGAATATTATGTGCAGTATTCATAAAACCACAAAATTATAATAATTACACTTCAAATGTGTTGGCAATAAAGGAGACGTGGGGTAAGAGGTGTGATATCCTGCACTTTGTTGGCCCACAAGATCCCAGTTTGCCATCGATTAGAGTGAACTGCGATCGCAATAATATCGACCGACTCTTGTGTCAGAAGAAAATGGTTTTCACTTATTTCTACAATAAATACAAACATTTATTTGATTGGATTTTCGTGGTATACGAAGACACGTACGTTATAATCGAGAATTTACAACATTTAGTATCCCATTACTCGGCAAATGAGTCCATTTGGTTTGGCTGTCCATTCAGACTTACCCACAGTAATGACATTACATTTATGAGAGCAAGTATGATTTATAAGTAAAAATACATCATTTGCGAGATAATTTAAATGATTATTTAGTTTATATGTTGCATCTATTTCAGCTGCTGGCTATGTAAGTCATAATTTTGTATTGCAAAATATTTTAAATGATTAATTTATATTATAACTTTTGAAACAAAGGTAATGAGTAGAGGAGCTATTCATCAATTGGTAAATGAGTTTAACGATACGAGTCATTGTATGGATTTAGAGATCGGTGCTGAGGATCTGGAGGTTGCAAAGTATGACAAACAATTGTCGCTTTTATTTATGATAAGTTATCTTTGATGACAAGTATTTTATAAATAATTTATTTAAAATAAACAATAGATGCCTAAACACATTAGGAGTTATAAGAGGCGATGAAAGGGAGCTAGGTCGCCACCGGTTTTTACCAATTAATCCAGCTTATTTACTTAGTAGCAGAAAGCAAAATAAACTTTTCAAATGGATCGCCAATTATAATTTGTACGAATATAAACTGGTAAGATTGATTTACTCTATTAATTGTCGATTTTCAACATTCTTGATAATATTTTGATAACATCTATATCTTGATAACATTTTTAATATTGATAATATGATAGGGACTCGAGTGTTGCAGCAATACTAGCATTTCGTGGCCCTGTTTCTCATACAGTGATTTATATGTCTATGAATTTTTTATATACCATTTGAATGTAGAGTTGATTTAACCATTTATGCTAAAATATAAATTTAATTATAAATAAATAATGAAACAAGTCATTAACAGATGTATTATCATATAATTTGTCAATTTTATGTGTCATATGATTAACTTTATTGTAATTCTCTATAATTCTCTAAATAATATTTTGATGTCATATTATTTTGAATTGTAGTTTTTTTATTCATTTAGCAATAAAATTATATTAAAATTATTGGTATTTAACCAGTAACAAACGAACTTATTTGACAGAAGTTACACTTTATAAAATACATAAATAGTATGATACTTTCAGTGATTATAAATAGTATTTATTGAACTTTTATTTGAAAGATTTGTGTGAATACTGTGAATTTTATGTTACCGTACTTAACGACATTTGAAACACATTTTTATTTTTGAAATAAAATATTTTCTAAAAACAAAACACTTTCGAAATTAAGCGATGATTTGGAAACCATTAATGTTTTTATTCGCGTTAATATTTATGCTTATTTTGTTTTTCTCTTATAACAGCATATATTTCCCGATTGATAAAAGTTATATGAATATATCGCAGCAATATAACCAATATAACCTAGCTCACACAACACGTGAGCCAAGAATCTTATGTGTAGTGACGACATACCCCCAAAACCATAGGGTCGAGGCCCGGGCTGTCAAAGAGACGTGGGGTAAGAGGTGTGATATCCTATACTTTGTGAGCTCAGAGTCGGACCCAGATTTGCCGACAATTGACGTGAAGTGCGAAACTGAAGATCACTACCACTTGTGGTGTAAAACGAAAAAAGGTCTCCTCTATGGGGTCGACACGTTTGGCGGAAAGTTTGATTGGCTGCTGAAGGCGGATGACGACACTTATGTAATAATCGATAATTTAAAACATTTGGTCGCAACCCATGACCCAAATGACAGCATTTGGTTTGGCTGTCCCTTCGTTTTGGACGGCAATCAATCGGTCAAATATATGAGCGGAGGTCTGCTCTCTATAAATAAGCATTTGTTTCATGTTTTCAATGCAATTAATCTCTACTTCCAGGTGCGGGTTATGTAAGCAAAACAATATATTTTTATTGATACGATATGTGGCTGTAATGAGTGTAATAATGATAATCAGGTCATCAGTAGCGCAGCGGTCTATGAATTGGCGCAAGAATTTAGACAAACAAATGGACACAAGAAGTGTTCCACAGATTCAATGAACGATGAAATGGGAGTCGAAGACTTGGAGATCGGAAGGAAAGTCTGATTTCCTATAATTTGTTTGTCTTTAAGCTGACTATTTGTATAATGGTTTCATCAATATTACAGATGTCTGGACAGTTTAGGGGCTAAATTTGGTGACTCCAGGGATGGTATGAATCGGAAGCGTTTTTTCCCACTTCCGCCAGAATATTGGTTTGACCCCCAAGTAGATGTCTATACCAGTACTGATTGGTTTAAGCAATATAGTGTTTATGATTATAAGCAGGTATACTTTTATATAGCATTTCTCATTTATGTTATTTAACAATAGATTTAAATTTGTAAACTGTTTTGATTACAGGGCATGAATTGTTGTAGTGATACGAGTATTACATTTCATTATATTGAACCAAAAGAGATGTATGTTTTAGAGTTTTTTATATATCATTTGAAATTAAAAAATAAAAATAAATGAATTTTAATTAAAGTATTTTACGAACTCTGATATTTTTATGGGGAAATGCCCGTAAAATATTTATTAATAAAATAAAAAGATTTTGTAACAGATGAAAACAGATTTGAGTTAAAATATTACTAACAAATAAAATAATGTGCAAAAAAGTAAAATATGAACAGCAACATTACAAATTATTAAGTTTATAAGACATAAGATTTGATATGATATTATTTAGTCGACAAACACTTGATTTTGTGCTTAAAATATATATTTTATTGTTAATTTTTATATTAATATATATGTTCACAAATGTAGCGAAAAACGAACTCAACATAAATAATACATTAAAATTGAAAAGAAATCCAAGAATATTATGTTTAGTGACAACTCAACCAAAGTATCACAAAACCAAAGCCCTGGCCGTTAAGGAGACGTGGGGTAAGAAATGTGATATACTTTACTTCGTTAGTTCTCGAGAAGACCCCAAACTGCCAGCGATTAAAGTGGAGTGCGAGAAGTATGACCATGATCACTTGGTGTGCAAGAATTTTAAGGCTATTCAATATGGAGTCCAAAAATTTAAGGGCCGATTTGATTGGCTTTTTAAGGCCGACGACGACACGTATGTTGTGACTGAAAATCTCAAACATTTCCTCTCAAACTATGATCCAAATGATGGCATTTGGTTCGGCTGTCCCTTCGCTTTACAGGGAAATCATAACCAGTTATATATGAGTGGAGGTATTCAATGGGTTTTTATACAGAACTTAACAATTGATTTAAATATTGATATTAATTTCTGTGTTTTCTGATAATAAGGTGCCGGATATGTAAGTGAATTGAAAATTATTTGATCACAGATCATTAAAATTGATTGAAAACTAAAGGCAATTAGTAGTGAAGCCATCAATCGTTTCGTAAATGAGTTGAAAAAGCCAAACAAATGCTTGAATTTGAAATCAGAGACGGGTGCGGACGACTACGTGATTGGCAAGTAGGTGTCAACTATAAAATGTTCAAGATCACTTACAATACACTCACTTATTGTATGAACTCTTAACGAATGAATAGCTGTTTAAATAGACTGAACGTAAAGATGGGCGAAGAGAGGGATGGTATGAATCGGAAGCGTTTTTTCCCGTTAATGCCGGAGCCTTTCCTAATCAATAAAAGTGGTCTCCCCGACTGGTTCCCAGTATATAATGTCAATTTTATCAACAAGGTAAAGTGTCATAAGTTTTTATTGTTAATCGCTAATTCATATATTCACATGTTTTAGGGCTTTAACTGTTGCAGTAATACAACCATTTCTTTTCATTACATACCTTCACGTCTTATGTATGTCTTTGACTTTTTAATCCATCATTTGATTGTTAAACATAACTAAAGTTTTGTATTGAAGTGAATTACATAATTAAAACGATAATGCAAAGCAGTATACTTTTATTGACTGATTTCCAAATATATAGTAAAATAATTGTATTTAAAAATAAAAATCTTAATCATTGGGCCAATAGAGGAAAGCTAACTCTCCTCGGATTCTTCACCTCTCCCTTCACAGGTATTCCCCGTTTAGGATAATGAGGAATAGTCTTCTCAACCATTGTCACACAATCGATGATTGGACAGACACTTAAACATAGCGTACAACCGGTGCAGTCGTCGGTAACAAATGGCAAATGTGTTTCGCTATCGAAAGTAATCGCTTGATATCCAGAATCATTGCAAGTCATGTAACATTTGCCACAATTAATGCACATATCCTGTTATACAATGTAATTAAGTTAATAAACAAATCATTAAATGTTATACTAATATAAATTAAATTTTAATATTTAGTTACTTGATCAATTAAGGCCACTTTTTGTAGTTTTACGTCCAGTTCAGCGAAAGTTCCGATTCTTGACAAAGATATTCCAATCAAATCCTATAATCAATGACTTTAATTAAAGTTATGATTTAATTATCCAAATATTTACCTTAATTTTCACCACATCTCTCGTCGGTTTGTTTATTGGTCTCACTTTTGGTGGTTTTAAGTCATCGCTCAATAAATTAGAGTTAATTTTCAAATCAATAACCTTTTGCTCCCTTTGCTTCTTATAGGGACCAAATGCGGGCAGTTTCTCATCAAACAAATGAATAGGTTTTCCCTTTTGATGCTTAGGTGTTGGGGGCGACTGTCCGTTCCATTCGGACATATCATCAATACTTCTTAGATAAAGAGCTGTTTTAAGTCCTATTATGTAATCCTCAATAACAGTGAAGTCTTGGTTTTGGACAGAACTGCAAACCTATTGTCCGAAATTCATATGAATTAAATGAAAACACACAGAATTGCCTGAATTGAAGTCACCTGTAGTACAGATGCCCCGGAATATATGAATTGGAGTCCAGCGTCGGCTGAATCGATGCCACCCGTCGCTAATACTGGAAATCCGGGCAAAGCCTTAGCGATGGCAGAGACGGCTCGTAAGGCGAGCGGTCGGATGGCATTGCCTGAAACGCCCCCATAAGTAGTTCTTTTCTGAATACCGACGGCTGGCCAGGGAGTACCGTTCCCTTTCAGGTCCATTAAACCGGATACAGTGTTAGTCGCGGTTACGCCATCAGCTTTTCCTAAATTTTGATTTTAGTTAATAAATTATTCGTGAATTAATGCCTCGACTGTTAGCCTAACCTTCTTTGGCGGCGATAGCAATCTCCACGATATCCGTCACATTTGGTGTCAATTTGGCAAAGAATGGGATTTTGACGGCTTCCCGCACCCAAACACAGATATTCCGCACTAAATGCGGATCCTTTCATTTAAATAGGAAATAATTTTATAATTTACGGTATTTTTAGAAACTGCTTTTAGACAATACCTGTCCACATGCTAAACCCATCCCACGTTCACCCATACCATGAGGGCTACAAATGAATTATTTATTTATTTATCATATTTAAAAATGTATCGTACAATCAATTACCAGCTTAAGTTTAGCTCAATAGCGTCCGCGCCGGCCTTTTCAGACATGACGGCCAACTCAACCCAATCTTCTTTGACAAATGGAGCCATAATACTAGCGATGAGTATGTTTTCGGGGAAATCGCGTTTAAGATCAGTGATGGCTCGACACCAATATTCGGAAGTCTTTTCACTGATGAGTTCAATATTAAGGAAGGAACCCATACCCGGCCCATACATGTGACCAGAAGTGGTGCCGCGAACTATACGCGGGGAGACATTTGTAACCAAATCTTTATCTAAACTAAAGGTTTTAGTCAAAGCGAAAGCCCAGCCCGACTCAAAGGCACGCCTAATCATAGGGGCACTGGTAGTCGGTGGGGCACTGGCCAAACCAAACGGGTTCATAAACTTGAGTCCACACATCTCGACACTAATGTCCACCAAATCTATGGCAGTATAAAATCGCGGCATTTCTTTCGAGATCTCATTTATAGTGAGATTATGTTTGCTTTGTATGTATTTATGGATATTATATGCGGCGGTCTTTCCGTCGTTAACGGCTTCCACTGTAGTCTCAGACACACCGGCTATATCCCCGCCGGCAAACACCCACTCCTCGCTCGTCTTCATTGTCTTCGTGTCCACCACTGGCTGTCCATATTTGGTGAGTGCGAGAGGTGAGAGGGCCCTGATAACTGTCTCATCAAATACTCCCGAACCAAACGCCGATATAACAAAGTCAGCCTTCAATGTCATCACTTGTTCATTGTCTTCAATGCAGTTCCCGTTGTCGTCCACTTCTGTCCTGAAGAACTCAATGGAAACGATGCGACCGTTGTTTACATTCAATTTGTTTGGCGACAGGAATGGCAGGAATTCACACCTCTCTTCACGCGCTAATTCCATCTGCAAATAAGTGACACTTAATTCTGGTTTTATATGCCATTAGAGACTAACCTCTTCGGGAACGGCTCTAATATTAGTAAAACCGCGCCTAAAGATAACGGAAACCCTTTTAGCGCCGCATCTGAGGGCAGAAGTGGCGCAATCAAAGGCTGTATCGCCGGCCCCCAGAACTACAACATTGCCATGGAGGGCCGGTAGCTTTAATGCATTACAGGAACACATCCCTGGTTTGCTGGCAGTGCTCACGAGTGGCAGAAAATCTTTGGATGTATAGAATCCATTCTCAGGGGTCAGCCCTTTAAACATATCCAGCCGTTTAGCTTCGGGTAAACCAATGCCAATGAAAATACACTCAAACTTATGGTCAGTTCGAAGGGATTGAAGAGTGAAGTCATGTCCGAGAGATTTGTTTGTTTCGATTTTAACGCCCAAATCCTTCATTAAGTCGATCTCAAAGGCGACCACTTTATAGGGCAGTCTATACTGAGGTATTTCCGCTGAGCTCAGACCTCCAATGAATGGTTGCTTTTCAAGAATCGTAATGTCATGGTAGCCGAGTCGAGCCAGAAATGTAGCGCAACTAATACTGGCCGGACCGCAGCCTATCAGTCCTATCCTCGTAGCGTATGATTTGGGAAGGCTTTCTATTGGCGGCAAATCTGGAGATCGTATTTGAGACACTTTCATGTCTTTGAATATCTGTTCACAACATTTGATTAAATGAATTACTTTTTGTGTTCATAACCAGAGATAATCAATGAATACCTCAGTAGCAAACTGTTGAAGACCTCCAATATTGATGGGCCCCTCCTCTGTGGCGTACAGATTACAACCGCCAACACAGAGATCACTGGTCGGACATACCATTCCACAGGTCAGACCTAATGGGTTGTCAGAGAAAATCTCTTTTGCCGCCCCGTAATAGTTCTTAAACAATATGTTCATAATTGGTATTAAAATTGGAAGACTTTTAATCCTGTAATAAAGTTTTTTTGTACCTTATTAGCGATCATAGATATGAAAGCCTTGATGTCTAGTTGTGTGGGACACCCCTTCTGACAGGGGGCGTCCGCACACTTCAGACATCGGGCCGCCTCCCGAAGGGCTGCCCTTTCGCTGAGAGTCGTGTGCTTTATGTCATCGAAATTATTCTTTAAACTGACGCACGACTAGAGTTTTGATTAGAAATTACATTTAATATTATCCTTCATTTGATTCTTGGCTTTATTTTTCATTAGTAATTATTCTTACGTTACAATTCTTGTCTCGATTTCGTTTCCAATGCTTTTTGTTAGTCTTGGTTTCAAGACTGGGAACTACTTTCGCATATCTATTCACTTTGGGATTCAATGCCAACAAATTCTGTAATTCAAAAAAATTTATTCACATATTTTCACATTATGTTGTTAATTACATAATAAATTATTTTGTATAAATGATATTTTTCAAAATATACATACTCTGTATAAGTAATAATAATTTATACGTTTGTAATAAATTATACCCTATATGACCAATAAATTTAATAAATGAATATTAATGAACATTATGCAATTCTAATTTAATCTTTGCTAATTAATACTGTGCTATAGTGTCTGTTTTAGAAATTAATTCAATCTTAAATGATAAATATTTATACTTACAATTGTTAGATATAAATTATTTTATGTATAAGAATAAGTACTTATAAGAACTTAAATTTTATATATTTATAATAATCCTAATATATTTATAATTTGATTAAAATATTTGATAATTATTACTAAATAACTATTAAGTATATAACATATTCTTAAGTACCGGTAATACAAAAGTGAAATGAATATTATAATTTTAAAAAATCGATAGTGACTTATTAATCCAATTAAATGTTAAGTACTTTTTAGGAGCATCTAATGATAAAAAACACCAAAGTTTCTCGTTATGCATGATTTTAAAGGCAACTGAGATTAACAGAGAATTCCCTGCAAATTGAATGAGTCTATAGACTCTATTCAACACTTCAAGGATCTATTTGTGATTTATGTCATTAGCCTCGAGTCATGTGCTCCGATAGTATTTGGTTGTGGATAATATGGTTTGGACTCAAACTATGAATTAAATAAATTTAAAAAATGAAAAAAATAAATATTTACCTCAATATCTGGAGTGTCTTTACTGATAGACATGACTGATGTTAAAGAATTTGCAAACTTTTACTAAATTAGAAATGAATTGAACTTTATATGAATAGTTTCAAATATGATTCCGTATGTCTTGGAAGCCAATAATAACTTTAGTAAGTGCTGTATAAATGATCCGTTATTTGAGACAAACTGATGATACAAACGGTGAGCACTGAAGCACTGGAATTCATGCAATACAAGGACTCATCCAAAACCTGATTCCAGAATTCAAGGATAAACCTATGATTTACTGTCGTTTAGATATAATATGTTATAATATATCAAATCAATTGTAAACCAATTGTGTTCAATACCTGTAAGAAGCGTTTTCCACTACTACTACACAAACACAGTATAAATTTCTCAGCAAGAGTTGTAATTTTTAACACTTGTTAACTGTTAACTCATTTAGATCTTACTATTATATAAAAGTTTTATTGTAATGGTTTGCAAATTGATTATTAGATATTACTGTACAGACATTGGTGTAATTCTTGAGCTCATTATACAGTAAAATACTAATCGCTATTAAATAAATTGTGAGAAGTATTCACTTGTGTTTTGCAACGAATTCAGTCTTATGTTCACTAAAATTTGAGATAAGATATGATAAACAGTTAGAATAGATATACTGTAAAAGCTTTCAGGTCTCAGACCCTCAGACCATACATCCAAAGATCAGTCGTTGGAAACCAATCGCAATTCACTAGAGATTAAAGTCTAACATTAAATTTATTCAATAAATCAAATCCTGTATTTTCCGCTCAATAAACTGTGTTTATAAAATGCTAAACAAATAGTCTATTATTAAAAACATTACCTTAACAAGTTATGTCATTTCGAAATCGCTGCAAAGTATCATAATCTCAATATTAAGTTTCCAATAAGTTGTGTTTATACTGCACTAGTAGTTTAGATTATTTGATACACGTTTGTAAATAATATATCCAATATTTTAATTCCATTAAAAATCATTATTGAAAATCTCAAACATTTGATACACTTTGACTCAAAGTCATTTAGTGGTGATAATTGTCTAATAAGTGAAATATTAAATAACATAATACAGTATAAGACACATTAAAGCAATATATATTTGATGTTTAGTTAAATGATCACATATTTGGTATAATACTCTATTTTATAATCAATATATAGTACATATACGGTAATAATAATTAAATTATATTTTATTATAAAAATGCTAATTCGAGAGAATTCTTGTAAATATATAATCAATGGTAAAAGTCAACAGCAATAGAGTAATGGATTATAATGAAATGTAATATTAATAGTAGGCGGTGTGGTGTACTGTAATCTACTTGAGTTGTTTGGCGTACCACCTGGCTGACTTATGCGGGTGCATTTTCTGGGAGTGGGCGTTGAACTCCTTCTTAGACTTGAACTTATCGTTGCAGTGATAACACGCCACCCGGTAGTCCATGTCCACGTTGTCTGCACCTAATGTGTCACTATTTATAATCCAAATATTGCAAAATATTAATCAATTAGTAATCATTGGATTGTATGACACAAATGACTCACTTATTACGAGCACTGGTGGACGCCATGGCATCATTAGGTCCATTGCCATCACCACTGCTTCGACAACTCTCTTTCAACCTGTTTATAGTGTCCAAAAGTACGTCCGTTTTGTCACCCCTTTTATCACAACTGTTTGAATCAGATCTCAATGCCCTCTCAGTAGACGACTCTTTGAGCGGACGGCCTCTCCTTTTGCCACTCGAAGAAGAACTCTTGTCCCTGTCGTCAGAACTCGAAGAGCTTTTATCCCTAGAGTTGTTGTCAGCATTAGTCTTATCCTTAGAGTTTTTAAGAGCACTGATCCGGTCAGACGCGTCACTCCTTTGCGGCTCTATGGCTGCCAACTGTTCCGGCGGTCTATCCGTGTCCTCAGTCTCGTCAGTCTTTTCCAAATGTTCGGCGATTTGTNGCATTAGTCTTATCCTTAGAGTTTTTAAGAGCACTGATCCGGTCAGACGCGTCACTCCTTTGCGGCTCTATGGCTGCCAACTGTTCCGGCGGTCTATCCGTGTCCTCAGTCTCGTCAGTCTTTTCCAAATGTGCGGCGATTTGTTCGGGTGTCAGACGAAGCATAGCAACGCTTAAGACTTTTTTGTCGCATTTCTTTCGTAACCGGGAATAGTATCCGTCCTCCGAGGCCTCCAACAGTCTCCTAATGTTCGCCTCTATGTCTGAATTGGTGTTCACTTCAATCAGTTTCTTCTGGAGAATCACAAACTCTTCGTTCGAGAAACTCATGTTTGGCTCATAAAGGGTCACAAAATTATATTTCTGTTGTTTGATGTGTAGAAAGTGTTCACTGGATTGGTGTTCACTTCAATCAGTTTCTTCTGGAGAATCACAAACTCTTCGTTCGAGAAACTCATGTTTGGCTCATAAAGGGTCACAAAATTATATTTCTGTTGTTTGATGTGTAGAAAGTGTTCGTCAATGAAGTGTTTGGCTATAAAGGGGGCCGCGTCTGGCAAATACTGTTTACACATCCGGCACTTGATTGGTAACCAACAGCAGTGTTGCCACAAATGACTTCTAACTTCTTCGTAAGTCTTATACCGTTTGGCAACTCTTTGGTTGATTTTAGCCAATTTGACACAAAGAGGACACGAGTAAAAGGCTTTACATTTGCCGCTGTAGTCAATGGCTTCAAACGAACACAACTGGATCTGCTTTAAGAAAGACCATTGCATCCAATGGACAACCAATTGGCGCATCTGTTCGCCCAAATGAGTGGTCACCACATGTTTCTCTTGGATGTGAGTCTTTGCTGACTCGCAATCACTGAACGTTTGTTTGCATTTAAAAAACATACAAATTCTGACACTATTCGCGTAATCAGTGGTCAAGTCATGCGAAACACTTTGAGCGCCATTATTATCGGAGGCGTCACTTCCAACGGTTCCATTGGCGCACAATTGCTTCGGCTGTCGACTAGTGCTTTGATCGCTGTCTTCGAGACTTCTTCTGCGGTTCATCTCATACCTATACTGCCACCAAGAGCTTCCCTGTCCATCGAGAACTCCCTTCCCTCTAATGGTAATATTGTTTTGTTTGTAGGCGTATATAAGGGGCGAAAAGTTGGTCACTTCTGTGCCCTCCCATCTCATGATAACCATTGGTAAGTAGTCGTCAAAGTCTGTACTAAATTTAATGACCGCGTCGTCCGCCAAATGGAGAGTTACATCACTCTTGAGATGAATTGGTCCGCACAGGTATTGTCCGGTCGGGAAATATACAGTTCCCCCGCCATTAGCCACAGCGGCGTCGATGGCTTTCTGGACGGCGGCACTACTCTTGTCCACTCCCTTCACATCTGCGCCAAAGTCCGTCACATCAAACGTGTCCTCACTTTTGCTGCAAATTACAAGTGTTTTGAGGACTAATATTAACAAGAATTTCATTTTAAGAAATTGTTGTGTTCTTTGAATTTATTTGATTTATTTATTTGATTTAAACTAAACAGTATCTCTACAACCTATGTTTTATAAAGCTCACAATTATCTTTTATTTAATACTATTATTATAATTGGATGGAAAGTATTAAATACTGTTAAATTGTCAGGAATAGTGGGAAATATTCAGTAATGTTCATATGATATCATTTTATTGTTTTCAATGAAAATCTTTAAGTTTAAAAGAACCTGGTTAACCTTTGTGAAATAAGGCTTGAATCCAGTTAACCAATTCTTCGATCATTTAAGTGTTGAAGTTATAAATAGATTACCACAGATTGACATTAGATAACCCTTTATAATAGATAAACACATGTTATTATTTGTTTTCCTATATTGATGTGCTCTCATTTTAATAATGAATATATTTATACTGTACCATTAATCATGGTAAATAAAACTAATTATATTTGAACAAAATCTAGTTATAATATTTGAAAAATGTTATTATTTGTTTTCCTATATTAATGTGCTCTCATTTTAATAATGAATATATTTATACTGTACCATTAATCATGGTAAATAAAACTAATTATATTTGAACAAAATCTAGTTATAATATTTGAAAAATTTTGCAAAATGATACAATTACTGAAGATGTTTTATAGAGTACGATCAAGGTAAATCTAATATCAGGTTCAGGAGTACTAGATTTTTAAATTTCAAGTGCACACAAACTCATAATTAGCAAGATTAAATTTTGATTTATTGTTTGATAATTTGGTAATCTAGGGTCAAGTAATTTAATAAGTGAACAATATTAATATTTAATATGATAAATACTAAAATATTAGTAATATACAGTATTACCGTACTTGAGAACCTATACAACAAAACTAGCAAGCACATTGAAATGAAATTAGCATTGAATTATTAATTTAATAAATTATTATAGAATATGTTTTATAATAAATTGTCATTATTATAATTACATATTATTTCTATTACATCTAGAAATTGTACTAAAAAACTACATTGTATTATATCTAGAAAACATTTTCCGACCATTACTAACAAATAAGCTAGTACAGTACAATAATTTTTATAAGCATGATCAATTATCGTGCCATGATTCTATTAATGCAGTAAAAACATGAATAGTATTAAATGTATCATTAATAAAGTTATGCAGTTTTTTGTTACGTTTAAAATGTATTCAAATGTTTTGCAAATCCTAACTTGTTATTTGATCCAAGTGACCAAGGCTAAACAAAAATGAACTAATATCGGCAATGTATGTATCATTTCATACTTTTATCAGTTTTGTTGCTTTAGGCGCCAATCAATTCATTTCATACGTCCACTCAATTGTATTGTTAATGTGAGTACAAATGTAGCCAACGTTTTGTAGACGCTATGAGTGCGCATTCAATACCAAACGTCTACACGATGTGAATGAAAACAAACCCCGTTTTAAAAGTGAGTGTTTGAGTGAAACGACTCTTTCGAGCATTTATTGAACCAATCATTTGTTGGATCTGTTTGAAGACATCGAAGAATGCGTGACTGATATCACGTCGTAAGAGATGAGCGACA